TCTCACACCTGTAATCTCAGCACTTTGGGAGGCTGAGGCAGGAGGATCACCTGAGGTCAGGAGTTCAAGACCAACCTGGCCAACATGGTGAAACCCCCCTCTCTACTAAAAATACAAAAGTTAGCCAGGCGTGGCGGTGGCACTTGTAATCCCAGCTACTCTGGAGGCCGAGGCTGGAGAATCTCTTGAACATGGGAGGCAGAGGTTGCAGTGAGCCGAGATCGCACCACTGAACTCCAGCCTGGCTGACACAGCAAGACTGTGAAAAAAAAATCTAGGAAACCAAGGGAGAATGGTGTCATAAGACCTCCAGGTAAAATAGTCAACATCATCAAATACCACATAGGGATGTAGTATGAAAACCAAGAAAATAATATTGGATTTGATAGATGGTCACTGGAGACCTTTAGAGACTGGGTAAGGAAAGGCATTCATGACCAAATCAGATTTCAGAGGCTCGGGAATGATGGTGGATTGAAAACAGACAAGTAAATAGTTAAAAGGGGTGGGAATGTCTAGAAAACATTTTTTTTTTTCAAATGGGAAACTTGTTTGTTATTGATAATAATATGGAAGATATTGATTGGCAGATTTTGGATACATCAAAGGCAAAGAATATGTTGCCGCCTGTCAAGTATCTCATCTACATCAGCCCTACATCTCTAGTCTCATCTAAATCAGCCCATTGTCTGCATCAGTGCTGAGTAGGTCAGTCCCCTGCTTAAAGACCTCTCTGATTTCCTTGTTGCAAGAAGAAATACAATATTCTTAGCATAGCTGACAAGTCGCTTTGCATTCTGGTTCTAAACGCTCTGTCATATTTCATCTTCTATCACTTGGGACACAGGAGATTTCAGATTCTTTCCAAGTTGATCTTTGTACATATTGCTCTTTCTACCTGGAAGAGCCTTCCTCCCATCTTTCACATGTCTAGTTCTAACTTGTCTTTCAACACTTGGCTAAAACACTCAGCTCAAAAATGTCATCTAACATCGGTGACTTTTTGGAAGGAGGAATATTGGAGGCAATATGTTTTTAACCAGATATTGTTATAGTCTGAGTGTGCAGAATCAAGAGCCAAGACTGTGATAATCACACTGTGAATGGAACTATTTGTTTTTGAACCCTTTCCTGCCTCTGTGGATCCAGTGTAAGTCTCCCTTTTTGGTGCTTCACCCATAAGTTGTTTCTTCATATCTTTGCCTCAGCATCCTGCATTGTAATACATCTATTTCATAGCTGTGTTCTCCATTAGACTACATGAACTCTTAACACAGGGACTGTCTTTTTTATTGCAATCTCCATGGCAGAGGCAAAACAAACTCTTGCTAAAAGCATCAGGAATGAATGTGGATTAATATAATAATATATACTGAGGTATATAAGATAGAAGTCAAGAAGCATATTATAAGTGCAAAAAAACGAACAATTTCACCTCTGCTCCTTCATTTTTTAGCTGTGACCATATATAATGCATAAAATATGTGAATCTGTGCATTCCAAATGTGTTCTGCTACAGTCATTATGTGTTAGAACGTGGTTTTGGAGTTAAGCAGTCTCAGCTTTAAACATGACTTCTGACTCTAAAAGCTGTATGAATTTAAGCAAGTTAATTTCTCTGAAACTGAGTTTCCTATTGGTCAAATGAGGATAATACTGTATAGTGTGGTTGTGAAGGTAAAATTGACAAAATATAGATTAAACAATTTAATGTTAGTCATCATTAACATCACAATTATTTCCAACTCTCACCTTCATGGCTGATGTTTCTTATTAATTTATCTCTGGTCTTGTATTTGGCTCATTAGCAACTTTTATTCATTTTATAAGGAGAAGAATGTTTCAAAGTAGAATTTTGATGTTAGGAAATTTAACATCAGCTGTACTTCATCTACCTAAATGATGCCATTTGATTCATAATACTGCCAGCACTAAGTGAATTTACAAAAATCTAGAATGAAATATAGGTGTTGATATAGTAAGTTGCCAATTAAATTTGAATTATTCGTAAGTCTCGAAATAATTTCCCAGTGAAAGTCCTGGCTTCACTTGCTAAGCTGGATCTGAGGATACCTTTTTTGGTCTTATCTTCTGGAATCTATTGCCCTCAGTTATTTAGATAACTTAGATATTAGCTCTTTTTATTTTTTTTAGCAGAATTTTTGTGGTTAATAAAAACTTGTGCTTACAGCTTTTTGCATAGATAAAGGAAAGGATTCCACATCCAGTTTAGATCAAGAGATAAATTTTTAGAGAAAAATGATGGATATGTCCTCTGAGAGCAGTGGAATGCCATGATGTTCTGTCTTTTTCTGATTGAGTTTCTGGCATTTCAGAATCCTTCCACATTCACACCCACACAAAGACACAGTGGTCACAACTGTAGCTCCCTCAGTCTCATTTCCAGAGCACATCCGTTGTTTTCCATATCATTTAATAAATCTCTGTCTTTAGCCTAGTGGTGAAAAGCTTATATAAATATTAAAACTTCAACTATTCCCCTGAGTTTTCTGTTGGCTAACCTGCAGCCATAGGTTGGTTTGGTTATTGACATGCATTTGCTAGATCATTCATGCCACTTTTGTGAGTCCAGTGGTGATAAATTGTTTTGTCTTGAAAATTTATCAGGCTGTTTTGACACCCCATTTATGAAAACTTAAATAATTGACACCCTCATTGAAAAGGTTCTAGGTTCAAAGTATCTTTCTTATTCTTTCAGCATATATCATTCTGATGATATATATCTATATATATTTTAGGAAGTCTTGGCCAGGAGATGACTGGAACAGTCATTGAAAAGAAAGCAAGAATGTGAAGAGCTGATTGGAGCCAAAATGTTTAACCTTGCATTGTTATTTCTAGGACAGATTTTTTTTTAAAACTATATTTAGAAGTGAAGTATTTTATTGTTTACTAAATAGGGATAGTTAACATTACTGGAGTGAAATTAAAATGTATAATAAAAAATCCTTATCCATCGAATTGGAGAGAAAATAGAAGGCATATATTTAAAAACAAAATCAATACTTGGTGTATAGTGGGCAACAGTAAATGAATGTGGGATAGGATTGATTAGATTCCTAGTGAAATGTAATACTACCTTTATAAAATATTTATTTTATCCTTAAGTAAAAACTTATATGATTGAACATCATTGTTAATATAGTAGCCTTATTTTAGAAAATACATGTATTCCATTTTTTCTTTTTATTTATCATTTTTCATTTATTCTCTTAGATAGCAATCAATGAAATGTCCTCCAGTATTGAAACTATTCTGTTTTTCCTGTTTTTTTTTTTGTTTTGTTTTTTGTTTTTTGTTTTTTTAAACAGAGTTTCCTTCTTGTTGCCGGGCTGGAGTGCAATGGCGCAACCTCGGCTCACTGCAACCTCTGCCTCCCAAGTTCAAGCGATTCTCCTGCCTCAGCTTCCTGAGTAGTGGGGATTACAGGCACCCGCCACCATGCCTGGCTAAATTTTTGCATTTTTAGTAGAGATGGCATTTCACCATGTCAGTCAGGCTGGTCTCGATCTACTGACCTCAGGTGATCCACCTGCCTTGGCCTCCCAAAGTTCTGAAATTACAGGAATAAGCCACTGTCCCCAGCCACTGAAACTATTCCTGTACTTTTTATTTTTAATGGTGAAAGAAGCAATTTTTCTAATACAGTTTCCTATGGAGTCTGCAGATTTGAAGCTAATTCTAGCTAAGTACAGGAGAACTGAATGGGAGTCTATGAATACTCTACTATTGTTTCACTAGTCCTTCCAAATTAGTAAAACATTTTACCTGCTGCCAAGAGTCTACTTTGGCTAATGTTTTAAAAATGTCTCTTTGATTATCTAGATTATTAATTAAAACAGGTTTGATATTTTAATAATCGATAATTCTGAAATGCTTCATACATTAGAAACCTAATTGTGTTGAGGTGTCCCTATAGATCCAAGATTTTATTCCCGTGTTTACTGTCTTTACAGAGATGAAATAGAAAATAGTAAATTTCATAAATGTGTTAGCTCTCCTTCTGTAAGACCTATTAGAGAAAATAAAGAAAATCCAATATGCTGTTCTGTCTGTGAATTACAATTTTAAATTATAGTAGAGGTTGGGTGCAGTGGCTCATGCCTGTAATCCCAGCACTTTGGGAGGCCAAGGCGGGCAGATCACGAGGTCAAGAGATCAAGACCATCCTGGCCAACATGGTGAAACCCTGTCTCTACTAAAAATACAAAAATTAGCTGAGTGTTGCTGCACGCACCTGTAGTCCCATCTACTCAGGAGGCTGAGGCAGGAGAATCGCTTGAACCGGAGAGGCAGAGGTTGTAGTGAGCTGAGATGGTGCCACTGCAATCCATCCTGCATAACAAGACTCTTGTGACATAGCAAGACTGCATCTCAAAAAAAAAAAAATTATAGTAGAAATAAAACAGACAAAGGATTCGGACCAATTTGAGTTTTGTTGGCTAACCTGAAATATCACTCTTTGCATGTCTTGAGTTGTGCTGGTTAGAAAATCATAGTACAAAGGTTGTTTGTAGGCCAGTGGTTGTGACTATTAATTTTTGCATACTTTCCCCAAAGCTTTCTTAAAACAGCTATATTTTTGGTTTTGAAGAATAATATATTAGTGCCTATTCTAACCTGATTTCTTCTACCTGAGACCTAAAAGGCATATTGCCCAATGACTTCATGCTCAAAGTACAATGATATTATTACTATAATTCATAAATTGCTCACAGAGTTCATAGTAATAAAAATAGGAAGAATTACATCTCTAAGTGATGGATTTTTAAACACTAGGGCCTGGGTGGCTACTCTTATCCACTACATGGCCACTCAAGTCATTTCATACAGACAGCCTTCTCTCAAATGAGGTATAAAGAAAGACTAGGAAACATATTTTTGTCACTATTGCTTGCTTTGAAAGAGGGCCACATGATAGAAAAGGCTGTGTTACCTTCTTTCAAGTGTAAACAATTTATCCTTGTTTGTCTTCTTAGATTTGAAGAAGAACTGACCAGCAAGTGGTTACATCTCTTTGAAGGCAGTGGAGTCCCATATGGCCCAATCAACAACATGAAGAATGTATTTGCAGAACCTCAGGTTTGTTTTTTGAAGTTTAGCAACACAAGCATTTGCCTCTCTTTTCTGTCCTAGGTTGGTTTATATCAAGGTACCTTTGCCTCTGATCTTAAGCTTAAGTAACATGATATGATTTTTCACTGTTATATTAAAATTGTTTGTGGGTTTGAGATAAAAAGAACCAGAACTTAGAAGTGGCTGTCCATGGCCGGGTGCAGTGGCTCACGCCTGCAATCCCAGCACTTTGGGAGGCCAAGGCGGGCGGATCACTTGAAGTCAGGAGTTTGAGACCAGCATGACCAACATGGAGGAACTCCATTTCTGCTAAAAATACGAAATTAGCTGGGCATGGTGGTGCATGCCTGTAATCCCAGTTACTCGGGAGGCTGAGGCAGGAGAATTGCTTGAGCCGAGGAGGCGGAGGTTGTGGTGAGCTGAGATCGCGCCACTGCACTCCAGCCTGGGCAACAAGAGCAAAACTCCGTCTTAAAAAAAAAAAAAAAGAAGTGGGATCCATAAGCATACTTGTCTTACATTTAACATACTGTATTTCTTCATCAATCACTACATGAAGTTTCTGAGGCCAGGGTATTTCATTTTCCTGAAAAACAGAAATATACACAATTGAGATATTGGAGTTGGGTACTCAGAGACTGTTCTTTGTAGGAAGAAATATGAGAACTTTCATAGTTACAGTCCACCTCTGATAATCCTATTATCTTAAAATGTACGGAGCAGGTCATATTTAATTCTGCAAATGAGAGGCCTTTGTTTGGTTTGATTAATTTGTGTTATTTGTGAGACATAAATTTTACACAGATAGTGATTTGTGCTCTACATTACTTATCAGGCTCCTTTTTGGTGCCCAGGAACAGGGTCACCTGAAAATATATTTATTTTATAACATTGTTCAAGTGATTATTTTTAGATGATATCAAAATAATGTTTTGAATTTATTACTTCAATCAATATAACTAGAAGCAATTTTCCATTTCTCAAATTCATGGATTAATTCCCAAAGGTAGAGGGACTCCATTTTAAAGCTTTCACTATGATTATTCAATCGTTTTGTCAGTTTCCAACATTCAAAACTATGGGGTATTTTTCTTTGGGTTCTTTATTTAGTGGCAGGTTTTTCTTAGAAATATACTACTGAACATAGAAGACACCTTTTGAGGGAGGAGATCTTTGTTGGAAAACCAATCTATCTCTTTAATTTTGGTACCTTTAATCTTACATGAATATCTGCTTAAAAGAAAATTGAAATATTTTGCATTTAACGGTTATGACATTTACTGGCGAAAATGTATGAAAAGTGAATGAATTCAGGAATTCTGCATGTGCTATTTTTCTGCCAAGATTGTAAGTATGACAAAGCTTTGTTTGTATTAAAACACTGGTCAATAATGGTCAATAAGTATCTGACATAAGGGGGCCCATTTGTTGTGTACTATGTGAATTCATCTGAAAGGGACCCCCATGCCATCCGTGGATTAATGCCTGGTGATTCCTTACAAGGAGGTAGCATTGTGAACACTCTGAATGTAGGAGAACAGGGGACCGTTTTTCTCACTTCATAACTTTGAGTGAGGCCAAGCCACCATTTGAAGCTGTTGTGTATTGAGGTGTGTGTAGAACTTCATGTATATCTCAATTTGAGGGTACATTTTTCTGGAGATACTTCCTAAGAGTTTTCCATCATCATTTCTATTGCTCTATCTGTGTTTTATCAAAGATGAAGGCACCAAGGCAAAGAATTATTTTTAAATAATTATATTATTTATAATTTATATAATAAATATATATAATTATTTAAAAATATATTAAGTATATTCTAACACTACCTAGTTTTTAGGCTTTGATAAAGACTTACAATTGCACCCACTATCTTAAAATTATTCACTTTATTGGCTAGTTCAAAGTGAATATAGGATAATTAGGATTTTCATACCTAATTTTCTCTTGCGGTTTGGTGTAATTACTTTATTCTTTGCATCTCAATTCTTTTGGAACTACAAAAATTTCTGTTCCTAATCTATGGCATATTTTTAGTCATTAGCCTATCTTCCAAAATGGAGAACATTTATATTACCTAAGTCAGCATACCAGCTTTTGATACTGTTGCAAATGTCTCTACAAACTGCCCTTTGTGAAATTTGTGTAAAGCAGATTATTTTTAAAAACCCTTAAGATGATATCTAACTATGGTGACTAAGTTCATTCATTTATTCAACAAACTTTTAATATATCGAGTGCTTGTGACTTAGCATAAATTCAGTACACAATGCGTACCTGTTATTAAGTCCATTTTGAATTTACTTATTAGAAAGGGATTAATGAGTTGGTTAACTCTGGAATGTGCAAGTTTTCCAAATAATCAAGTGGCTCCTTTGTAGTCCTCCCAATTTGTAGAATTCTCCCCACCATAACTATCATCCTATGTACTTCTGAGAGAGGTTGACAAGCTCTATCTTGAAGGCTGGTTGGAAAACCCTTGGTAATCTGAGGGAACTAAGTGTAACATAATGGTTAAGACCATGGAGTCAAAATTGGTGGGCAGTTTATTATAAACTTTCTAGACTTTGGTTTCCTTAAGTGTAAAATGGTGAACTAGCATCTGAGTTATTGTTTATAAAGAAAACAACACAGGGATTGTGAGATGGTAAACAGCCAATGCCTAGTAGTAGCTGTGGTTATGATGGTGCCCTCATATTCCTGTTTAATTTCTTTTACTTATCTTTGTATAGTGGATAGAAGAAAATCTAGTGTGGTTTTGGGGATAGGGATCATTAACTTAAACTTGCTCTCTGCTATTCTTTTATAAAAATATATCTGCAAACTCTATGCCAAGAAGAGGACTTCCCTTCCTTATTTCTGATTATTGAAAACCCTTTATTTTTCATTTTTTGTAAAAGTTTTTTCTAAGTATGATTTCCATTTAAGGTATCCTCCCTTGTTTTGCCTCTGATGAGCTGTAGAGTTTCTTGGCCCTGGGTGCATGGAAACGGCTACTTCTGTTCAGATGTGGGAACGCACCACTGGCGCGCGTGGCCCACTCTCCATGTGTGCTGTGCCAGCACAGCTGCTCTGAAAATTGCTCTGGGTGAAGTACAAGGCCTGGAACATGGGGCAGGAATGGAGACTTCAATAAAATGAAAAGGGGTATGTGTAACAACAACAATAAAAGCCAGGATTGGGAGCCTCAAGTAACAGCAGAAAAATTTCAGTGCCTACTTCTCAAGCAGACCATTTACATTTCATCTGTGGTTTGAACTTGGAGACAACAAAAATTTACTTGATAGTAGAAACTATTTTTAGCCTAACGATTTCATCATAGTCTCTTGGATTGAGGTAACTTGATTTTTTGGTTAAACCAAAACAACAGATGATATTATTTTTCATGGATAAATGAAAGATTGTCTACCTCTTATCCTCTGATTATATGTGACAGACCTTTGCACAGTTAAAGTGATCCTGCAGGCATCCACTGTTAAGTCAATCAAGAATACTGCAGGCTGGGCGGAGGGGAATTGGTCTGCATTTACTGAAAGTTCTGAGGAGTTTTTATGTAAAACCTTTAGCATGGGAGTTTTATTGTCTTTCTCTCTCAATGACAAATTATCTGTGGAAAGCTCTGTGCATTTATAGATGTATCATATAGATTATCTGCATATAGATTTTAATAGCCAGTCATTTTTCCAAGTGCTTTCTTAAAATATCTTTTTTTAATCAAGCCAAGATTGTGCAGTACATTAAAGGAATTCTTAAAAAGTTTCAAAAACTTACTAGATGACCTCAGTATGGTCCTATTTAACATACCCTTGGGAACATGTGCATGAAATACATTATGGTTTGAGGGTTTCCAACCCAAACAAACTTAAAAGAAAATGCAGCTTTTAATAGAAACTATTGAAATTCCTGCAAACATAGGTATATATCTTATCACTGAGAGGGATTAAAAACATCATTGTCTACATTGAGAATTAAAAGGCAGTGTGACATTCTGCTTTTAGACTTTACTTAAAACTGTATATTTGGGGATTCTAGCATATCACCACTTTGATTAAACTGCTTAATTAAAAACTATGAGTGATTGAAGCCTCTAATTAGTGTTTTTTGTTGTCATTGATACCATGACCTGAGGGTAGGGAAGAGAGGGCTAAGGGTGTCACAAAACTGGTGTTATTTAATAGAGTCTTCACATATGTACCACACAAGTCGAATATATCAGGTGTAAGACATCACCCTGAAGCATCACTTCTTATAACTATTGGGAGGAAAATATCAGAACTATTGAAATATCACAGCTGGCCCTGATTTTAACTAGTGCCAAACACCTGCAGGCTCTAAAAGGATACCAAAACAAAATTCCACCCCATGGCAGCAAGCCATCCCTTAAAAACCCTTTCTTAACTTTGCATCACCATCAAAATTAATTTAACATTTTATCCAGAAACCTTATTCTTCCTGTCCCAGAAGGCCATTACAACCCCTATAGCAAATCTTTCATACGGGATGAATATGTCATAGAAAGAATGAAGTCTTGAAATATTTGAAGGCTGAAAACTATCTGTTTTCATCTCATTATTTGTGTAAACTTTTTAAATTACAGGGTTTATTAATCTCTAGACTAGCTCATATTCTCTGAGTGATTTTGTTTCAGCACATTTTGGCAAAATATCTGAGCATCTTATTTTTTTTAGAAAGGCCAGTATTCATATAGTAAGCATCAGAAGCACCCCAAAATACAGTTAGCTTTCAAGACCTTTCTAACACACACACACACACACACACACACACACACACACACACTCTCTCTCTCTCTCTCTCTCTCTTTCTCTCTCTCTTTCTCTCTCTCTCTGTCTCCTGATGCATTTTAAAGATCACCTTTCAAATGACATTAGTTAATATTTCTTGAAATGCAGTTTCATAGCCCTCAGAGGGTTATACACGTCAAGCAAAATTATATTCTTGTTTCTAATACTGCTGGGAAATACATACATACAGTGGTCTCTGCAACT